GTCTGCAACAAGTCAGTAGAGACTTCCGACAATAAATGCATAGTTTGAAATTTATAAGTTGACTGTCCGTTTGATATTCGACCATCAAATCACATCTGCGCAGTCGTAACCGTTTGGGGGGCGAATAACGAAGTGGTGTCTCTTGAGCTCCCCCAGTAACTTGCTTCATATACTTGTTAAATAAGCTTAAGGAACCCTTTAGAGCTGCTGGTAGATATGAGCCTTCTACGGAATTTTATTAAAAAAATATGCTGCATTTAATGCATTATTCTTGTGTACTAAATTTAATATGGTAACTAATCGATCCCAAGGAAATCTAGTAATCTACTATACTGTTCTCTTGATACTTAAGTATATAGAAGACTGTACTAGTTGTGTTCGTTTGGAAAAGCCAACCACAAAATTCAGAGAATAAGGTATCTCACTCTCACAAAGAGAGAAACTTACAAAGTTTAACGCGAGCGAACAGGAATTTGCAGAAATTTGCAAGCTTCACTGCCAGCTGGCGTCCACGGTTGCATTTCGAACATAATAATATTTTTCAAATTATTATTCTGACTTTGCTCAACATACGCTTCAATTTCTTTGTGGTAGTCACTGACGGATATCCAACATATATCGACAGTGTTGACAACTCCGTTCCGATTACAAGCACAACTTTTTCAGCCCAGTACCTTTCAAATTATTGGAACTAATAAAATTAATTAAGTAAACAAATATTTGCATACTTCTTTCATTAGTAAATCGCAACAAGGTTGTACATTTTTAAATTTAACGAATTTGTTGTTTCAAATTATTGTTGACAAAAATGCAATCGTGTGCAAAAATTTTCCCCAGCACGAATTTTTAACTTCCCCTCCAAATGAAATGTCAAAATTGTGCACTCTCCTTGCAAGTTTTACCAATTTTTTGTCCAAACGAACGCGATTCGGTAAAAAATTTGTACAAACTTGTACAAGTTTTTCGCATAGCTAACAGAACTACATATTATCAATAAAAAAAAAAAAAAATCTTTTGGACTTACATTCAAATCCCCAGCGCCATCATTGTTGTCCATATTCAATTCCGCATTCAAATCCGTTTCATTGAGATTCGACAAGCCATTCGGCTGTGAGTTGATTAGCGAATTAATGATTTGCTCTTGTTGCGATTGCTGGACTGACTGTTGTGTATGTTGTTGTTGTTGTTGTTGCTGCTGGTGTGAATCATTTGCAGCACCACCTCGATTTGAGGCCGGTCCACCAGGTTGCCCGGGTGTGCCAGGTGTTTGCGGTGAGGAATTCGAAATATTCGCATTAGGTGTTGAGGGCTCATTGTGCGCAGAACTTACGCTAGGTGGGCCACCGGGAGTCATCGGATGCATTGGTGTGTGCGGCGTATGAGGCATCTGATGGTGAAATTGAGAGAAATTTGATTAATTAATTAAGTTCGTATGTGTACTACGTACGTGTGTATGTAGATTTGTTTGATTTTTCTGATATATTTTCAATACCATACTCACCTGATCGTTGAGACTCTTCTCCATTGCATTAAGCTGGTCAAGAGAATTACCAGTATCACCTGTATGCTGATCATTAACACCGACATCGCCACCGCTATACATGTCGAAGGGACTGCGTCTGTGCAATTGACAAAATATGAATAAATATGTATTTGAATTAATTCTCACACCTGTGTGTCTTATTCTTTAAGTAGAACTTACATTTGACCCGCTCCGGGTACATTAGGCGTGCCCGCATTCATGTCATGTTGCATGTAGGGACTCATCGCCTGCGAGTTGTCCCATGGTGACATCACTTTTGATTGATCGTCAAAGGTATTTTCCTGTTTAATACTCGGCACATTGGGTCCAACCATTTGCCCGCCCATTTGACCCGGCATTTGGCTACCCATTTGACCGCTCATTTGTCCTGGCATTTGGCTACCCATCGGTCCCATTTGTCCTTGCATTTGAGCACCCATTTGCCCAGGCATTTGTCCGCTCATTTGACCAGGCATTTGACCGCCCATTTGTCCGGGCATTTGTGCGCCTATTTGACTCGGGGTTGGACCACCCATTTGACCTGGCATTTGTCCTCCTGGCAACATTTGTCCCGACATTGGGCTGGGCATTTGTGCAGACATCGCGCTGATCGGTGAACCTTGGTGTATACCTTGCGCCGCTCGCCAATTACCACTCGAATCGATGATAACCTCGTCCACATCAGTGCCATTCAGTTTATCCAAAATAGCCCAGACATACTGATCGATTTCAAGACTTTCTGTCAGCGCGGGTTTACTGCGAAAAAAGTAAAAATTTCGGAATTAGTTTTGTTTAATAACCCGTAAAAGTTTATTTTTTTTTGAAGAGTTGTGGCTCTAGTCAATCTAGTATACTCACTTGCATTCGGGACACCGCCAGGCGCCACGTTCGCAATTCATAAGCAGATAGGCCTCCAGATCGAAACACTGGATGTGCTTGCACTCGTGTCCTCGCGCAGGCATTCGTATTCGAGACTTCATGATCGGACATTTTAATGAGATCTTGGTGCATTTTGTCGCTTCCATATTGCCGGCGCCGGATTCTAGTGGAACGCTGGTCGTCGAACAGACCATGAAGTTGCGTTTGATTTTGGCTACACAATGGTCTACCGGCAAACAATTACGCTTGTGCAGGCTTTGAAGAACATGCCGCACGGAAGGTCGATGGACTAGCTGTAGCACAAATAAGTGGGACTGCAATGGAGAAGAAGAAGATAAGAAT